CTGGAAATGTCCAAAATACCCTGGTCGGTTCGTATTCTGTCCTCTTCCTAGTCAGCATCTAGATTCTTCCTTATCCCTTAATAGCTTACTTCTGATATACTGAAGTGTATAGGAGTCGTCCGGGATCCGAGAGTCCCGAGTCTACTTCAGTCGACTTGAGACATCCTTGCTTTCAATCCAGCTGGGTCATCCCCCACTCGCTAGTAGACCCTAATACACTCATTTATCCTTCTAGACGGAATCGACTTGAATCTAGTCGACAGGGTAGAAGTCGACTAAGAAAAGCATCCGGACCTTCGGCCGGATGTATCATTATGAGGAGATATGTGAGAGGAGTCGACTTAGGGTAAGTCGACTCGATATTCGAACCGGGACATCGTAAGCCGCTATATGACAGTATGGCTATATCATCTAGTCCCCCCAAAGATTACTCGGAGCGATTCTGAGCTTACGAGTAGATTCGTTGATGGAATGCTTCACAGGATTCCCTTCCAACCGTTCCCCTTACTCTTGACCGTCTACGCCCAAACTTCGGCTCATGAGAGGTTCTTTAACTTCGAGAAAATTCTCGTTTTGTCTGGATAAACTCGAATTCCGTCTTGAATTTCGAAATTCAAAGGGGCTTGGAATCTGACAAGACGTTTCTCTCTCCACCGCTTCGTATTCCGTGCATTATCTCATCCGTCCGATCTACCTTTAATCTAAGGGCTAGGGTTCCTTTACTCTTCTTATAAATTTCCTCTTCTTCCTTCCACTTTTCGCATTCTCATTTCTCGAATTCCTTCTTTCTCCGGCAAGCGCAGCATTCTCCGTTTCTCCGGCACGCATTTCACTTTCCGACACTCCTTTCGGATTTTCAGGACTTCTCCAGAAATCATCATGTGTAAGTTTTTCCTGCTTTCTTATTTATTATTATGCAATTCCTTTCCTTTATTGTTTTTCTGGGTCACATGTTGAATACTTATGGATTTATTGGCTTTTTCCTGCATTTTGATAACTTTCTGGGGGTTTTCTCTTGTTAGATCTTCAATTATAGATTTTCCCTTTCTTCAAGTGTTTTTTGCCCAACAGTCGATTCGATGTTGATTCTTCTGCTTCACTCCGTTTATGTTATCCTTGACTCGACTTCTTTATGTCGAATTGAATGAATCCGAGACGACCTATGAATTCCTCTTGATCCTCATTTTTCCGTCGACTCGTAGTTATAATTGTCTCCGCTTGTTAATTGTCATTCTTCCTTTTTCTTTTGTTTCATTAGATCTCGATTCTCCCCCTGTTTCTGACCCGGTTTCTGGATC